TCCGCTCTACTTCCAAATCATTTGGAAATCAAGATGCGGCTTCTGATTGGCCCACTTCCAGGTTTGCAGCATTCGGGAGCCAAAACGTTCGACTCACAAGGCATTCAGGATCCAGGGTATTGTGAATGTTTTCGACAACCTCACATGTGGGACTTGACATCTTTCCGCAGGGCCTGCAAGACAGAGCTGTTCCACCAGGCCTTTGGCCAAGGCACAGCCTGACCCCCTCCTTCTGTAATCCTCATAGAACTCTAGCCCAATGGTTGCCATTAATTTGACTCTGAATTTTAGAATGAATTGATTTTAGAATGTATTTCAATTAATTGATTGTGATTTTATGTAAACTGTGTTATTTTTACTGTTGTTAGCCGCTCTGACCCCAGCTTCGGCTGGGGAGGGCGGGATATAAATATATAAAAAAATAGTAGTAGTAGTAGTAGTAGTACAGTGGTACCTCGGGTTAAGTACTTAATTCGTTCCGGAGGTCCGTTCTTAACCTGAAACTGTTCTTAACCTGAAGACCACTTTAGCTAATGGGGCCTCCTGCTGCCGCTGCTGCCGCGCCGCCGGAGCACGATTTCTGTTTTCATCCTGAAGCAAAGTTCTTAACCTAAAGCACTATTTCTGCGTTAGTAGAGTCTGTAACCTGAAGCGTATGTAACCTGAAGCGTATGTAACCCGAGGTACCACTGTATATACAATAATATTTGCCTTCTTTGCAAATCCCCCAGGGATTGCGTGCCAAAATTTGGTGGCCCCAAAGTAAAAGAAAGTAGAGAAATCAAGTGCTACCAGCAGATTCACTTGGTGGCTGGAGAAACATTAAATAAAACAGAGGTTGGTTCACATTGTAAGCTAGTGGTTCACCGTTCTTACCACTCTTTATGGAGAATGAGACAATCAGTGACCACTAGCTATTATGGCTCTGCTCTGCTTCCATAGTGAGAGGTTCTAATGCTTCTGAATACCAGTTTCTGGAAACCACAGGTGGGTAGGATAGTCTTGTGCTCAGGTCCAGCCTGCGAGTTTCCAGTAGGCATCTGACTGGCCACTGTGAGTACAGGATGCTGGACTAGAGGGGCTATTGGCCTGATCCAGCAAACTCTTCTCATATTATTATGCCATAAGTTCATGGATTGCCAATCTGGTGCCCACAGGGTCCCTTCCCACTCCTCCCTCCAGCCTGTGTTGAAATCGGGCTTGAAAGAAGTATTCTCTTGTAGCCAATGAAGCAACATGTGCTCAATTGCGGTGCATCTTCAGATTGCAGACGTGTCCATGGGCCCAAAAAGTTCGATGACTCCTATGATCGGTGTTGGAAAAAACAAAGTCATTCGAAAGAAAGAGCCTCAGGTAAGCTGGCTGGTGATTTTGGGAGAAGGGGAGGGGCACTTCAGGGGAGGGAGAGTTGGTGACAGTGGTGGTTGATAAACATCAATGCAAGCCCACACAGAGCATGCCGCTTTTCAAATATCTCAAGGGCTCTTACATGGAAGATGGAGCAAGCTTTTTTTCTCGTGGCTTCAAGTTACAAGAAAGGAGATTCCTACGAAACATCAGGAAGAACTTTCTAATGGTAATAGCTGTCCAACAGTGGAACGGACTCTCTTGAAGGTGGTGGACCCTCCTTCCTTGGAGGATTTTAAAGCAGAAGTTGGACGGCCATCTGTCATGGATGCCTGAGATTCCTGCATTACAGGGGTTGCACTGGATGACCCTCAAGATCCCAACTCTACAGTTCTATGATTCTTCCTGCCATGGTACGTAAGTCTGTACTAATATGTTCATAGCGGAGTAGGAGAATCAATGCCAGGTTCGGAATAAACCAAGCGACAAAGTGTGTATTGTTGCAAAATAAGCAAATATCCACAAACGTTTATTTATATGATCCGTTCTAGGTTTAGATTTCATTTCATTTCTTTTTCTTTTTTTAAGTGCAAAGCCTCATTTTTTAAAATTTTCATTATGTGCAATGTATGAATTGCTTGATTCAGAGCTAAGCTACCAAAGATAAATCTACACAGCTTTGATTCACTGGATTCCTTCTCTGCTTCCCTCCCTAGTGCAGCTGTCAGCAATGTGTGTGGTACGATCAACCATTGCAATCCACCCCATTGGGAAGGCTTGGCGAGTTAATGCTCCATTCAGTGTTTCACCTGTGAAAACAAGGATTGTTCTGGGTGTGGGTGAAAAAAAGTCTATGCCTCAAGCTTCCTGTTGGGGGGGGCGGTGTCTGCCTCCCTTCACAGGCTCCCATTCATTAGCATAGTCAAACACTCCAGTTGTCCGTTCCCTCCATCCATAAGAATAAAGGCTGGGTTAGGGGAAAGAGTTTATTTCTTGCCATTACCCAAGAGAGGAGATTTCAGGATAAATGTATGAAGTTGCCTTCTCATTGCTGCTTGGAATACTTTGCTTAGGAACAAGCTGCGTTGGGAGGGAGCAGGGTGTTGAGCCATTTCGTACATATACGAATGGTGCCTGTTGGGTTCCCACCTATCCTGTATAATACAGGATTGTCCCGTATTCCAGTGTAAAATGTGAGGTCCTGTACTGATAGTTTTGTCCTGTATTGCCCCCTCCTTTCTCTGCCAAGTTAGGGATCCAAAGGGTTGTGCGGAAGATCATGTATTTAAGCTGTGGGTAGCCAAGCACACAAGGGACGCAAGTGGCACTGTGGTCTAAACCACAGAGCCTAGGGCTTGCTGATCAGAAGGTTGGCGGTTTGAATCCCTGCGACGGGGTGAGTCCCATTGCTCAGTCCCAGCTCCTGCCAACCTAGCAGTTCGAAAGCACGTCAAAGTGCAAGAAGATAAATAGGTACCGCTCCAGTGGGAAGGTAAACGACATTTCCGTGCACTGCTCTGGTTCGCCAGAAGCGGCTTAGTCATGCTGGCCACATGACCCAGAAGCTGTACGCCAGCTCCCTCGGCCAAGAAAGCGAGATGAGCGCCGCAACCCCAGAGTCGGTCACGACTGGACCTAACGGTCAGGGGTCCCTTTACCTAGCCAAGCACACAGATTTATAAATTCGTGTGTGTGTGTGTGTGTGTGTGTGTGACAAATTCCAGAGAGGCCATCCTGCTGTAGTTTGCAATGTATTGCTTTGAAGTCACTTCAGCACCAGATTGGGGGGCGGGGTTGCTCCCAAACTGCCCCACCCTGTATTTTGCCGGAACAAAGATGGCGACCGTAGTGTATGTGTGAATTTTTAACAATACAAGTGGGACTGCATAAAAATGTTGCAGTGAGATCTCCGTTTGAGATTCCAGCCACTCTGTTCTATCCCCTTCCCTCCCATCCACTTTTCTGCTTCATCAGAGAGACCGAGACAAAGAGGAAGCAGAAAAGATTAAGATCCTTTGTCCTATTTCCCGCCACAGGAATAGGGGATATGACATCAAACAGTCCTGTCTTCTCTAAAAATAGAGGAACTCTCTGAGCCTTAACCCCTTCATATGCTTATTTAGTAAACGTAATTGCCATTTTGGCGGCAGATTTCCCCACAAACCCTTTGCTCTGCCAAAACATCAGGAAAAACTTTCTGTCAGTAAGAGATGTTTGACAGTGGAATGGTCTTCCTTGGGAAGTTGTGGACGCTCCTTCCTTGAAGGTTTTTAAGCAGAGGTTAATGACCATCTGTCATGGATGCTTTAGCTGAGATTCTTGCATTGCAGGGGGTAGACTAGACGACTATTGGGTCCCTTCAACTCTACAATTCTATGAACCACTGAGTGAGTGCACAATCCTCATTGGGCTGTTTGTAGGGGAGATTCCCCATTCTACTTCTGTAAGTCATGGGCTTCCCCCACCAGCATGACTGCCAATGACTTAAGCATGGGCGACACCATTTTGGTTACCTAAGAGGCAACATTCACAGCCTAGCATCAGAAATTGATGGAATGATTATAGTAGCAGCTACTTTGAAGTAAGCCCCACTGAATTCACTATGTCTTACTTCTAGGAGTAGTTTTCAGTTTACTGTACAGTGGTACCTCGGGTTAAGTACTTAATTCGTTCCAGAGGTCTGTTCTTAACCTGAAACTGTTCTTAACCTGAAGCACCACTTTAGCTAATGGGGCCTCCCGCTGCCGCCGCACCGCCGGAGCACGATTTCTGTTCTCATCCTGAAGCACAGTTCTTAATCCGAGGTACCATTTCTGGGTTAGCGGAATCTGTAACCTGAAGCGTATGTAACCTGAAATGTATGTAACCCAAGGTACCACTGTATTCACTTTACTGCCAAGTTTGCACAACTGGTGAGATAAGGATTGAGCAAAAGCAGTTAAGAGACTTTCTCCTTTAAGGGGTAAATGGGGAATCGTGACTTAGCAAGAGGCTAAAGGACATCATCCATCAGCTATTGCAATAGAATTTAGACTGATGTGAGTTGGAATCTAGCAAAATCTGGAAGATCTCATGTCCCCCTTTCCCTTGCTGTAGGTACCGGCTTGCTTATTATTTTCCAAGGGTCCACACTTGAAAAGACAACAGAAGCCAATTAGAAATCTTCAGCAAGTTTATTGGGTCCGTTTATTAAAAATTTACATATAAAAAAGATTGTTTAAAAATAAGAC